CTTTAAGAAAATAATAGCATACTTCAGCTAGGACTGTAATTTAAGGTTCTTTTTATACGCCCTAGCAAACAGGCTGAACTCTCCTCTTAAGGTAGTGGTCTCTCACCCTGACAATACTAGGAACTAATTCTGATACCTCTAAGTTTCAGATTCTCATGTAACTTGACTTCTGAGAACAGTACTTTCCTATCTTTGAGGATATTACTTTAGAGATTACAAAGATTTCAGTCACTGTGATCTTACAGGAACAACAATGCTGGTAAAACAAGCTTCAGAAATACTATTCAGCATCATCTGAATCTACATAATGTGAGCACAGCCATGAGCTGCGCTGCAGATCAAAAGCTGTTAGACAAACAAATGAATTTCACCTAAGCAGTGATTTAAGTCTCTTTATAAGTACATATTGCATTTACATACTTTTGCAACCAATCTATTAAGGTGTCTGACAGCTTTAGATTCAAGTATTACGATCCTGAGAACATAGCTCAACTAGACAGAGCTCAAGGGAGAGTCAGGAAAATAATCAGAAACCTAGAAAACACAAGCTACAGAACAGGATTTGATCATAAAGAAAAAAATAAGGCAGGAGAAAATAGCAAGACTCTTCAAATAAAGAACTGCCAAAAGAATGATATCAGAATGGTGGATCAGAGAAGGAAGAAACTTGAATTATAGCAGGAAAGATACAAAGAAGTATTAGACTTCAAGACTGCCAGTGTTAAGGACAGGGAAGCACCATGAGCTTCTTGGATGTCACTTTCCTTTCTGAAGTTCCGAATGCACATTCCCCCTACTACATTACTCAGAAACTCTTTTGTACTTCCACTATTCAAACACTATAGGAATATATTGATGTGACAGATGAAATCAGAGTTAAAAAAAAAATGCAAGTCTTCCATGCCCAGTATGTATCCTGAAAAATGATTTTTTTTTCTTTTTTAAAGTAAGCAACTATTTCAAATGAAGTTAGAATAAGCAGCATCCCATAGTTGGAAGCCTTTTTGAAGATAGCTGGAGGTTCCTGTCACTTTGCTTTATTCAAGAAAAGATTAAATAAGATGTGAAGTACAGACAAACCTAGTAACCCTCTCTCTCAGGTCTATCTCAAGTATGTTGACAGTATTTCCTGCATATGCATTCTTCTGAGAGGCTGAGTCGTTGCTTGCAGTTGATGTTTTCTATACATTTGTTCTTGTGTGCCAGACAAGTGTTTTTGAAGATGAGTACCCACTCCAAACACATGTACCTATGTAATCACATTCAACCTTCAAGTATCAGCTGAGAAAACAGAAGCGTTACACAAGTGGGCATTGAAGCAGGTGGGACACAACGGGACATGGAAATGGACTTCAGCTTTTGAAAGGCATTACTCTTGATTTATCAAGGCACAACTTGTACAAAAGATTCTCCCTTACATCAGGTTGTCAGATTACCATCCCAGCCACACAGAGTACCTCCAAAAAAGAAGCAATGTGGGCATTTACACTGTTTACAAACTCAATTATGAGCTACTTACAAGCAGCTGGCCCTCAAGGAAGAGGCCTCTCTGAACCTACTATCAATCCATTATTTCATGTGGCATATTCTAGTGGTGCAAATTCAAACAGGAATTTGAACAAATTTAATGTTTGCTGAAAAAACCCACACAAATAAACGCAAGCAGAAAAGAGCAGACTCTTACAGTATCATGGCTTATTTCAAGTCTAGTTTTCTGTCTGCAGCTACTTGACTTCTCCCTTACCCCCTCCAGCAAAGGGCACTGCAAGAAACTGATTGAAATACAAGCCACAAGTTTATACAGTTATCTGGTATGAATATTACAGAATCAAACAAGATGTAATTTTACTTACTGGATATGGAGACTAGAAGACAGCATTCAGAAATCTTATATCACAAAGGCACAATATTTCAAACCAGGTAACTTCCATACATGATGACCACCTAATGAATTCAGATCTAGAGGCCTCACATGTAAACCTGAAATTAGCTGCCATGAAAAATGAAATCATATTTCACTCTGGCATAAAATCAAACATACGTGTGAACTTCTGTTGAATTCTTTGTTCATACTCCTGTGTTATGACTGTTCCCACATACTTTTTCTTCCGTGTGAGGTGCAAAAAGCAGCTTAGCTAAGCCTAATAACACAGTTTATTTTGCAAAAGAACTGGCTGCCTCTCTGCTGGATAACTTCTCTCATTTTACAAAAATTCTGAGGACAGGTTTGTGACTACATAGCATCAACAACAGCAGGCTGATATGTTCACTAAAAGTCAGGCATAGTGCCTATAGATATTTGGTCCCTAGTTCAATAACAGACTTAACAGTCTGTTAACGTATGGCCAGATAGCATCTTCCAGACAGCTGCAAATGAGGAGGGGCAGAACAAATTGAAAGCTGTGTTAATGCAGAACTGATTTCAAGCAAGCAACACTGACCAAAAGGTTGGGGAAAGTTCATTCAGGTTTGGCTTTTCTGGTCACCAGGGCCATAAAACAGCCTGCAAGAGACACTGAATGACAGAATGCATCTGTCATTATGCAGTAAGTGAATATTTTCTCCCTCCTAGAGCCCTCCCATTTTTACAGAAAAAAGAATCTCTGCTTTTTGGATTCTTTGGACAGGAAATATTATACATATGATCTACATTAAATTACAACAATCCATAAGGCTCCAATTTTAGTTTTATCACCATAGGCAGGTAAAATAATCATAATTAACGCTTTTGCCGAAATAGATTCCTGGAGGTTTATTTAAGCGAGTACTGTAGTTCCAAAAACTGTGCCTGCTCTCTGACAGAGTGCTGTATTTGGAAATCACGAGTGGGAGTTTAAAATAGGTTCAGCACACAGCTCACACTGTTCCCATCCCTGACATCCATATGGGGTTTGGACAATCTGGAGCTTTCTTTGAAAGGACCCACTCTGCGTATATTGCAAAGTAAAGTTCTATATTTGCTGCTATTAGGCTCTGAAGTTTCAGCACTTTAAGATGTCACTAACTTGATAAACAATGAGGTTTATAAAACGCATCTGATGGCTAAATAGACACATGCAGGATCAAATGTTTGCCACACAAGCAATCAAACAAACTGATGAACATCAAAAAAAGTGATTATAGAACTATAACTGTTCTATTATTAACCAGCAATCTGCATATCCTCCTCCAATTAATGCTAGAAAGGAGCTGTTAGTAGAAACCTAATTACCGGCATAACACTTCGTTGATTAGAAGTGCAGTAACAGTCATTGCTCCTACTTCATTTATGCAAGGCCCATAATAATAAGCCAAAGGATGTCAGTCAGTCACTGCTTTCCTGCCAGAAGTTTCTGCTATAGCAATAGCTTCTAGTGTAAATGCACTTCTCTACCCATGTCACTCAGCTCAGTAATTGCCTTGCCACTCACATAAAGGAAACAATTTCCAGCTCTGATGGGATTTTGTCTGCAATGTGAAACTGCTACTGCAATTGCAGCAGGTAGGTGTTAGATAGGTTACTTTGGCAGATCATAACATGAAACTAATCTCTAAAAAGCAGGTGGAAAGAGAAACTCGCAGGCTGGTGGGTGCAAGGAAAATGGTGCTGTCTGAGTGATTAACATAACATGCTAGGTGAGGTGGAACTGAGACAGAAAGAATAAAGTGGAACCCAGAGAAAAAAGTTCCTCGGCCATTTTCCTTTCATCAGGAACATCTCTCATTTCAGTTTATCTGTCAGAAACTCTCATGAAACCATATACACATATTTTACATGCCACAGGCTGCTGACTAGCAGGGCCACTAGCTCAGGGACAGCAAGCAAAAGCAAACATTGTCTGCTTCCCATCTGCAGCAACAGAAAACAGGTTTTATTGATCACCCTCCCCTTCCTTTCCAGGTGGATTCATATTGAGGGTTTCATGGGCAAGCAGAAGTTACAGGTTTTTAATCGACCTGAAGGAGATAAATTAATGAGAAATACACTTTCTGGGTAGCAAGATGAGTACAGAGTAAACAGAAATGCTTACTTTTCATTGGTTACAGAAAAGTGCATACAGAACGTGATCCTATTTTAATATTCCTTTTCAACAGAGGATCATAGCAGAAAGACAGGAATGAGACAAAAAAAAAAAAAAGGAAAATAACCAACCTACCACCTGGTAGCATACATCAGAGAGAATCTCTAGTTTTATAGTACAAAATCTCACCATACAGATGTAATCTGAAACAGCCAGACTGTTCACAAGCAAACAGGAAAACTATATTCCTATATTCACAAACTTGCTAGTGCATGAGAGCAAAGCATTATGTTCAGTTCATACAAATTGTATAACGCATGTATTCAGCTACTAAAAAAATAAAGCCCTAAATTATTGGAGTCCCAAAACTTTAGGATGTCAGAAACAGTGAAACTCAACTTCTGTGTCTGTTACCAGACAGCCTGACCCACAGGCACACGTATTCCAACAGTGAGACTGCTGCAACAATTCATAGGAAAATTCAAAACAGCACATCTACTTCCGTTGCTTCCAATGATGCCTTGGGTTCATGTTATATCTATTGCTTTAACATTCAATACCAATCTCCCATGATTTTGTAACAGGACTAGAATTAATTCTCTCCAACATGCTTCCCATTTTTGAGCCTATGTGAAGGTCTTAAATATACTAAGCTTCTCATCTTATCATGGCATCACCTGTATCAACCACAGCTCATACCTTTACCAAGTACATCAAGTTCTTGGGAAAAAACAAAACCCACAAGCTTTCATCTTCTGCTCAAACAGTTTGACTTCAACTGCAGTAAGAAGCTTTAAAAACCACCGTAGCAGTTCAGAGGTAAAAAGGCCTGATTACTTAAAAGTGACACTGGATCTGAGCTTCTGAGTGATTATGGCCCTTCTTCTTACAGCCCAACTTCAATACACTCAAAGCACAGACTCATAGAAATCCCTTAAGGTCAGCTGAAGCCCCCAGTCCCTCCTTCCATCCAAAAGAAATCATAGTAGCCATTCTTACCCTCAGAAAAACCGTACGAACTCACGATGTACATCTCCAGAAGTCTCCAGCAACTCCAAAGGCAATCAGACTTTCAGCTCTTACTAATTCTAAAAGAGCAAAAAGAAATAACATTTACACATTTTTTCCCACAAACAACACAGGCTGAAGTTTAAGACAGACGTTTGAAAGAATTAAACTATTACGTTCTTCATCTTAAAAAAAAAAAATGAAAATAATCACTCCTTGGCAAATATCCGGCTTTGTATTGATCACTTCTTATTCTTCACATATGGTAAAAGGTTAACACTGACTACGCATTAAATAAAAAGAGATATGCAAAAACAACCCACGCTTCACTTTCTTGTGAGATCACCAGCAGTACTCCATAGTCAAGTTGCATTCTATTTTTGGTAGAGTACGTTTACTTTGCACAGCATTTTTGGAAAGTGAAAAACAAGCAGAAATCAAATAAGCTTGAAACACAACCTGGGCAAAAACATTTTAAAAATATAAATAACTTAATGCACAATCACAAGTTTAGGACAGTTATCTCCACATACTTCCTTTGTCCATATTTTCAGTAACTCTCTTACACCCTGTTCTCATTCTTCCTAGATTACTTTTTTAGATTACTAATGCCTTACTTTTCCTCCCAATGAAAAGCTGTGTTCCTGTTCCCTTGTTTGGAGAAGAAGAAAAGCACTTTTATAGAGTTGTCATACAAATAAGTAAGAAGCTACTACATACTTTAAAATGGAAATGGCATTCATAGCAGACTGCAAAACACAGTTAAGTAGTGCAACAATGACAGCAGAGCAGCAAGGCCCCAGGCTACAGTAAGCGCAGAGCTGCTCAAATACAAAACCAATAGTCACAGAAATAAAACAAAATAAAAATAAAATAGCTACTTACCTTTGAAAAGCCTCCAGCAGCAGAAATCTACAGAAAGACCCCCTCACCTCTACTGCCAACCCTTAAATGAGTTCTGGGAAGGGGTGGATCCTGGCTCCAACCCTTCTGGTCACACAGCTGCATTGCATAATTGCATGCACCTGAGCTCCACTGGGTTGGCCCTGCCTTCCCACCAGGTGCTCAATCACTGGATCAGGCCATGACTCAGAATTTCTGGTACAAGTACATACATCCTTTCTAGTAAAAGCAGCAGCTATTTCCAAGTATGTCTTCCAAGGTACAGGGATTTCTCCAATACCTATCATTTTCCCCCAAATAAGCTTGTAGAGAATCACAAAACAGCCATGCCCAATAAGCAACCTCAGCATGAGGTTCTGTATAAGGCACCTTATCCTAGAATCATTAAGATTGGAAAAAAGCTCTGAGATCATCTAGTCCAACCGTCCACCGACCACCAATGTTACTCGCTCTATCATGTCCCTAAATACTACATCTACATGTTGTATCGGAAATGGAAAAATTGTGTGGGGATGGAACTTCATTGCATCACTTTTGATTTCACTCCCTACACTCTTTACTGTGTGCTTACCTTTGAAATGCACAAAACAGAGCAAGCTCTACTCAGGCAAACAACACATTTGGAACAAACTCACAACACCTGTGTTCAAATCCTTCATGCTTCTAGCAGAGAACACAAACTACAGGGTCAGCCAAAGACAAAAATGAGGGCAATAAAAAAAAAAACAAAAAATGACAAACACTACCACCTATTTCTTATTGTAACAGAAAAGGCATGAACAAAACCAGCACAGATGACCTCAGGAACTTTACCCCACGTTTCCCTAAGTGTTCCACTTTTGCCTCCTCTCCTGAATGCAGCTAATGTCTCCTCCTTGCTCTTTCCTGCTTCTCAGGTCCCTGTTTGCTAACCACCTGTGTCTCCAGAGCAGCTTGGCTAATTTGGCTGTGACAGCTATTAGTCGCCAGGCAACACCCAGCGCTAGCTTTTACGCGTCTATTTACTCATTTATCCTTTTCTTTAGGAAGAACAGAAAGTCAGCATGCTATAGACATGAACATAAGGAAGCACCTCAAATAAGAGCACATTTCTCACACTTAATTCATATCACATTTATGAATATTCATAAGTGGAACATAGCCAAGATGGAAAACGGTATTTTGGGGATAAGTAACAAATGCAGCTGCTGATTAGCTTTGTAAAGGCACACATGAAAACTGTCACAGCTTTAAATGATTGCAAGAAAGGGTCTTCTGCATCTCAAAAGCCATTCGTAAAGCAGTAAATACTCTGGCATATTTCTATTTGGCAGAACGAACCCTAAAATGACTAATGTTTCATAATGCCTTCTGTGGTCACTGTAAAAGGGTCATGAAGACAAACGACACGAGAGTCATACAAGCAGTCTTTAGGGATTAAAAAAAATACACAAACATTTCTAAATGCAGTTCAGCTGACCTAACAATAAAGGCTCAGTACTCCAACAACTTTTCCCACAAAGCAGAGCTGTCGTACTTCATGTTAAAGATACCTCATTAATGCTTATGTGATCGTGTAACAGCCACGTCAAGTCTGCAGGAGAGCAAGAGACCCCAGAGATGTCTTTGGAGCTTTGTTTGCATTTAGTAGAATTAAGGAACCCTATGAATATTAAGGTTAATGGAATCCCCAGAATAATGTGTGCTCAAAAAGCCAGCCCTGTGGAAGGAGAACTCTGCTGAACTGGCCTCTTGACTTTGATCCATTCTGTGATTGCTGAAAGAAAAGCCCTAAGTGATAGCTCAGCCAAGAGTTGTTACTCACTGTAGGTTTCTTACAGCTTTGAAGGTGGTTTTTTTTTCTTTGCTGTTTCTTTTTACTGTGTGTGTTACTGCTTCCAAGGTAGTAATCAAGAGCTTAATTCTTTGTAGATGTACGCTCAATTTGCATTCTTGCATTTACTTTCATATTTGAATTTGCCTGTGCCATATGGCCCAGTAGCAGCTCTAGCTATACTGTTTCACCAGAAGACAACAATATCCAGAAAAATAAGATTCCATAAATAACCTGAAATATCCCATCAAGACTAGCTGCTCTGAAGACTGGTATTATCATTATACAAAACACAGGAAAAAAACCCATCATCTGATATATAATTCAGTTACGTACAAGTAGAGGAAGAGATGGTTTACACAATATAAGGGAATTCAAACATTATCTGATCTTGCCAAAAACAGAATCTAGGTTTAGTGACTTGTAAGCTTAATAAGAAAATATGACTTTCACCCAGCAACCTGAACAAGATTTCAAAGAACGTTTGCATACTCCCTGATCTCTAACTCTTAAGACTATACTGGCAGTGCTGTATGTGTTGATTTAAAGAACTACGTGACTATTAGCAGCTGTACCTGATTATGTGCCAATTAATACTGGAGCTCCCACGGGGTTAATATAGATGTTTTCCTTCTTCTACTGTTCATTTTCATCTGGCTTTGAACAAAATCAATGAATTATGCTACGCGTGTTCTCTCAGTGTTAATACAGTCATTTATTATGGTTATTAAGCTGCTATAAATCCCAGAGAACTTTGAGATCTTACCATTTTAGACAGGGGATTTATAAAAAACATTTAGGAAACCATTTGTAGGAGCTGAATGTCCCATCTCCAAACTGCATGTCCTCAGAAGCACCAGGCTTACCAATTTTGTCTCATTCACCAATATGCTACCCAGAATACTTGCCTGTCTCTCTGGTTTCTTGTAACCTGTGCCTGTCCTGGCGAACGCTGATAATCGCAGAGGAATATAAATAAACAGATTGGGAATCAAATCCAGAGACCAGAGGGAGGGCTAGAACCATTGCTGGCCACAGAAGTTGACTGTGGTTTGGTAGCCACCAATAAATGTGGTTGTGTATGCTGGTGGTCCTACATAGGATTTTGACAGGGAAATTTGCAACTATTACTCCTAAATATACTTCTCAGATACCAAATAATTCATTTGGTTCTTTATTACTTTATTTCACAGCCCCTCTGGTTCCTTAAGTTGAGTTTTGTCACAGAAGCTGCATCCCTTGGCAGGGTTGGACACCCATGCTCTGTCATGTTGGTGCTCCTGTCTGTGCATAGAGCAAAACAAAACCCTTTGGCTGTGATTTTCAAAGGATACTAAAAAGGCTTATTATCATGACTTGTCTTAGCTCAGGTCAGTCTGCTGTTTTTGAAAACTCTCCTTCTTGGCCTTAATATATCTTTCGTAAATAGAGTATAAATATTCTGGGAATTAATACTCTCCTTTTCATAATGACTGCATGACACAAAAAGAAACATCACCTCAAATAGCCATCAATTTAAAAGTGTAAACAATGTATTCTCAGCCAGCTGGCTTGTTGATATAAATGTCTCTATGCCTGAAAGCATAGCTTTCTGCATTTCCTTAGTAAGTTTGGGTAATTTTAATGGTCTATCTTTGCAAGGCTCTTTCACCTGGGAGCAATTTGTGGCTCACATAAGCCACCAGACTTCTACAATATGGCCTCATGCTATACACAGTACAATTTCACATTGATATTGATTACAGAATAATTCTATAAATAGGGCAGAAACTTTTGCTGGTCTTTGAGGCCATTTTGCTACAGGGCAGGAATTTGCAATACTTTAACACATTTATGACTTACCACTTATGTAATCACACCTGAGTCTGTTTTTGAAAATCACTGAGAAATTCATTGATTTTGTGTGTGTGTTTTCAAATATTCCTTATCTTGTTTAAGTTCTGAAACCTGCTATCCCACTGATTGGTTTCAGGCTATCATTTCCTCTTTATCCATGTGGCTGAGCCTAGTAAGTCAGGAATGACGAAAGGGAGATATAGGCTTCCTCTTTCACACAGGGTAATTGTTTATGTGGGCAACAAAAAATCACCTGAGTCAAATTTTTGGTCCTGCTGTTGTCATCAGAAAGTTGGTTTTGGCCGAGCAGCATTTCCTCTTTGAGAAAGTCAAGTAAATCCATCCATCTCTAACTTCTAATACCTGCAGGAAAGACAGAGTACAGGATTTATTTATTCAGAAAAACAAACAAACTAGATAAGTCTATTTTGAAACATTTCCAGCATTGTTTTAATATTCTTGTTTGCTATAGGTGTTTGAGATGCTACATACATTGCTAAGCTTCAATAGGAGTAATATACAGTACAGGTTAGTCAAAGAGAAAATGGGAGAAATAATTTTCAGATATGACCTTTTCTGGTTGCTTTTTCCCCATTTTCATCAAGAACTCAGGGCTTTTGGTTGCCATCAAATTGCAGGTGGAAAATGAAAATATCTTATGTCAAACATGTTTGGACATTTTGTAAGAAAACAGTAAGGT